AGCTTGTTGGGGCTTGGATATGACAAGACCTTGATGGCTGGGATAAGCCTGTGAGTGGGTGTGCAAAGTAAGAAGTATGGTTATTAAGGGAATGGTGCAGTTTTGAAAGAGCCATGGGGGAGTAGCATTGTGTGTAGGACAATTTTTCAGACCAATTAATGTTTTAGGACAATTAATCTCACAATAGAGGGTAGGCAAGATTTCTGGAAGAGAAAGATGAGAGAGAAAGAAAAAGACACACAAGTACTATTATATTAGAAAATAAAGCTAAGACTCTAGTACAAAGAGTTAGATGCCAAAAATGTATAAATATAAAAGGCTAGAAAAATATTTAGGGTTTGGTGAATAAATGTACAGGGAGAAATAAAGGGAATATTTGAGAATGATTCTTCGTCAACTGATTAATGTAGGCAATCCCAGAAGAAAATAGGAGGCACTAAATTGAGTTACACTAACGTATTTCAGGTAGCAAGGAGTCACTAAGGTGCTGATGTTCAGATGGGAACTAGAAAGATGAGGATGCTGCACAGGACTGACACTAGCCCTGGGGACATCCAGTCATCACCAATGTATTGGCCAAGGGGATGAGTGCATGATTCGGCAACTCTAGGAGCTACTATATGACGACAACAGGAGAACAGAGTCTTATTTCTACATTTGGATGATTGCAGCAGGGAACCAAAGATGAAAGATAATAGAGTGACCAGAAAAGGGGAAGGAGAAAACGTTCAATGTAGCATCACAGAACCAAAAAGAAGAGTTTCAACAGCAATGATTGCAGCAAATATTTATCATGTCTAGTATATGTCAAGGACTGTTAAAAAAATGTACATATATTATTTTGTTTCATTTTTGTCCTCACAACAATTCTATGAACTTAAGAGTAAGTATAGTTTAAAAACTACAAAAAGCAAGTATAGAATATGTGATTGTTGAAAGAGCAAAAGTCATACAATTGTAGTGGTCATAGAAGTTAACATTTACTGTTTGCTGGGTGATGCTCATTGGGCTATTTTACATTCTGTTCCACGAGGTAACTATTAGTATCACCATTTTTATAAGAGGAAATAGAGGCTTAGCAAAGTTCAGTAACTTCAAGGTGTGTGAGAACAAGCTAAGATTAGAAGAATAATCAAAGATCCCCATTTTTTTTTTGGTATTTGTTAATACCTGTGAGTTTTACGTTAAAAAAGACTTATAAGTTACATAAATGTGCCCAAATAATTAATTCATGAATATATATCCTACTCTGCAAGAAAGACTGATTTCATAACTGAAAAATTTCAAGAGGGATTAGATGTTTTCCTTCTGGTTGCACAGGTAGTACATAGCTGCTGTGGGTATCAAAGTCTTCCCCATATGTTGTCTGTGTGTTCCAGCAGTTTTGATTCTTTTCAAGAGCAGTGGTCTACAGAATCCGGTGTCAGTTGTAAAATTTCTAATCTGTGTCATGATTTCTTCTTACTACATGCTACACAGCATTCTTTTCACAAATTCATATTTTGCTTGATGCTATTTTGGGAAGTACAATCAGGAGTCAAGAGCTAAAATAATGTGCTAGTTTTGATTTATGGCTTTCTTTCAGCATACAGAGAATAATAGCAATGGTGGAACTCACGCAATTTCACTGTAAATCCCAAACATGACCATGTAGAATATTTCATTGTAGTGATCTCTAATTTGTATATTGTAACAGTTAAAATAATTTTAAAAAGGAGAGTATGGCAGGAGTCCTGAAGAGATAAAATTAATAGATGCTGCATTTCTTTGGAAGATACTTTACAGATTTTGGCAAGATCCTGTTTAGTACTGTTCTGCTGAGGAATAGCCTGCTGAACTGCTAATGATAATAATGTGACATGTTTGTCAATAGAGGACTGGAGTTAAGTCAAGAGTGGTTTTGACCTGCCCATTGAATGCAGTTAGCTAGTACATTTTTATGTTTCTTTTTCTAAACTTCTACATTAATATGACTTATATAAAATCGTTTGATTCTCTTCTTGCAGCCAGATACTGAATTCAAAAAAGGTGGTTAGACTTAACTTTGAAAAATTTGCAAATGTACTTTTCTTTATTGCTGTTTTGGGATTTGCCTTATATTATTTCCATTGGGATAATGATATAAGTGTAAACATTTATGTTGATTTTGACACAGTTTAGCGGAATCATACTTCAGGTGTGTTATTTAAAACACCTTCCCTCTTGTTTTCAGTCCTTACTGGTACTTTGATTAATCTTTACTATATACAATGTCTCATCCTTCCAAAGCTGATTTCAAATTCAAATTTTATTTAATAGCATTTTGGTATTAATGCTATTTGATTTCTTATGGATAACATAAGAATGGCGAACCTCATAAAGAGGGAAACCTTTGAAGTTGGACTTTTCAAATTCTTGATTTTCTTTACCACGATATAATTATGAATTTCAGAAAGTAGAACTTTTTTTTTTTGTAGGGGTCTGAATTTCAACGAGAAATGCAGTCTTCGTGTTTCAACTTTCCAGTGTGTGTGTTTATAAGTTTCAATATCTAACGGTGTGTCAGGCCATTATGTTTAAAATGGAGGTAGGCCAGCCATAAAGTGACTTTTAAAGGTGTTCAGCCACATATATTTCAGAGATTTAATAACAAGTACATAGTAGAGCTCTATAAAAAGTTTTATTATTTTATATATTTAGGTAGTTTCTTGGATGCCATATCCCTAGGCCTTTCGGCTCTTGCCTTTTATAATAGTAATAGGCTATACTAAAGATGATCATTTCTGATTTGTACTCTGCCTAGTACACTATATGGATACCATTGTAACAAAAAGTATGCTACGTGTGTATTACAACCAACATTTACTGAACACCTGCTTATACCTAGTGTTGTGCAAAGTTGTACAAATATTTTCACCTGAGTCATCTCTTTGATGACTCTCTGGCACTGGCCTCAATCCTCCCTCAACCACAGCCAGTAAGATAGTTAGAATACCGTGAGATAGGGATAGTTAACTGATCCACAGAATTATAAATCAGTGACATATCTAAGACCATATGGCTAATGAGGCACAGGGCAGAGATTGCATCTTGAAGTCTTCTGACACCATCCCCTGTGCTTGATTAATGCTAGGGTTCTAAACAAGATTATCTTCCAAACTGCTGATTTTACAGATGAAGAAATTAGGTCCTAAAATGATGAGAAATTGCCCGAAGTTCTAATGTTAATTTTTCTTTCCTTTCTGACTACTATGCTTTCTCCTAGCACCTCCAAGTGGTTTTAGAAGTAAAAATAGACCTCCTCCCTCGTATATCTTCACTGTATCATACTGTCTTCCTAATGAGCCCATCATTTCCACTAAATGGGAATGATTTCTACTTCTAATCCACTCTCCTCCCCATCCTACCTCTTCCCTGAGGTCCAGATGTTTTTCTCTACCTTTTCCTGAAATCTCCCCTGAATGTCTCAGGGGAAAAAACTTAAAATGCATTGAAATTGTTAACTTCATGACTTTCTTCCATAAATTTTCTGACTCCTCTTAAAGTACTGGTGTTTCTATGAATTCCCTTTTTAGAATAATTATCTGATATTTCTCTCTGCTCTGACTGCATTACCTCCTTCTCTTCCTTGGACTTAGGTTGTATATGCTTTTGATTCTAGAATTTTCAGTTTTGAGTCCTCTCCTGAGTTTAGGATCCATGTTTTTTCAGAAGCTTGCTTGATTGATCTCTCTGGGTATACTACATATTTCTCAAATACAATAAGTTCTATTCAAAACTTGTATTTTCAACCATTTCCAACAGTCTCTCATGTTTGCAGTATTGATATTGATTAAAAATTTTCCATGTATTCAGGCTCCAAAGCTAAAATATTTGTGTGACTCTTTACTCTTCCCTAATCTCAGTTCTCACGTTGTCATGGTATAATAAGATTGTCTAAAATGCCACTCAAATTTGGCTTCTTATTTTTGTTATTGGTTCCATTCCCTTCATTGAAGCAACGTCTTAATCTCCAACCAGTGTCTTTCTACTGCAGTCAAGTCCCTTTTACAGGAATATAAAGAGCATTTATTATGCTACTGGAATGTTGCAGTACTGTACTAAGGTTAAAAGCAGAAAACAAAACAAAACAAAAACCCAACCCTCGAATTTGGATGGCTTGTATTATAGTAGGTAAATTTCCATGACTTTAACCCCACCTTTTTTTTTTTTTTGATACGGGGTTTCACTCTTGTTAACCAGGCTGGAGTGCAATGGCACGATCTCGGCTCACCGCAACCTCCGCCTCCTGGGTTCAGGCAATTCTCCTGCCTCAGCGTCCTGAGTAGCTGGGATTACAGGCACACGTCACCATGCCCAGCTAATTTTTTGTATTTTTAGTAGAGACGGGGTTTCACCATGTTGACCAAGATGGTCTCAATCTCTTGACCTCGTGATCCACCCGCCTCAGCCTCCCAAAGTGCTGGGATTACAGGTGTGAGCCACCACGCCAGGCCCTCCACTTTTAATTGTATTTATCCCTCTCTCTTTATATCCCTTCCACCTTTCCTTTTCTTTACAAACTCAATACAATTAATTTGAATTGAGTAACTTTTATCCATAGCTATCATGTACAGTGTTCTCATTTATTGATACTCACTCAAATCTCATTCTTGGTTTTTTCAAATATGAAGATATAAAATGTCAGTATTACTCGGGCATTATTGAACCACTCAAATAGTGTGATGCCTAGTTTTGGGTTAGTTGAATGAGATTTCAGAAAATCAGAAGAAGGCCTAGAGGTTAATTACATGATTATAAAATAAGAGAAAGCATTGCCATTTGGGCGGAGTACATGTTAAATTTGATTATGTTCCTCGAGTACATATAAATTAAACCTGTGCCTAAAATAGGTTTTTAAAATTATTTCCTTAAGATTCTGAAGGTATTTTAAAGTGAATTTTTAGTGTGCTAGAAAATGTTTTATAGCTTCTTATAAAAGTGGTTGTCAGACCTAATTAGTACTTTTCTGTTGTGGATAGGTACACGCTGGTGGATATATTGCGTGCCATCTTACTTTCTTTAGAAGCCATGATTGAAGATCCTGAGCTTCAAGTGAATGGGTTTGTTTTGATCATAGACTGGAGTAACTTCACTTTCAAGCAAGCCTCTAAACTCACACCAAGTATGCTGCGATTAGCTATTGAAGGCCTACAGGTAGGATATGAAAATTGCCTACTTCCTTGGACTCTTGTGTTTGACTTCTCTTGTCTAATACATTAGAATGACAAGATGTCTTACTTACAGAATAACAAAAACAAAAAAAAATTGTGGTTGTTGAGCACAAACATTAAAATACTAACTGAACAAAGGATTATAGAAGAAACACTGAAGGATGAGAGTTTGTGACACTAGTACAGTACTCACTTTCTAAACATAAATACGGGTAATAAACTGAGATTTTTAATCTTGAAAATCAGAACAAGCAGCATTTTTTAGATTGTGATGATTAGCCATTTAGGCTTGTTTTTTGTTTCTCTTTTCTATGTATATTAATTCGCTAAATATTTGCTTCATTATTTCATTTAACCTGGTGAATTTGGGATCTGATCAGCAGTAAGTTCAGCTATTGGAAAGTTGACCAATATGTTTTTGGTCTCTAAGATACAAAGACCATCTTTCTGAAAATTTCTTTAGACTTCACGGGGTTTTTGTGTGTGTGTGTGAGTGGGAGGGACCGTCACATGGAATTTATATAGGAATAGTGCTTCTTCCAGTGAATAATATTTAACTACGTGGGAATTAGAAGATGGGAAATATATTATTATTTAGGGTCTGTCATAAATCTGCTTTTGTCAAGTTGTTTTTAACTTCCAGAAGTCCTTCTATTCTCTCTCTTTGCTTTATGTTACTTTGCATATAATACTTATGGAATCAATTTTAAACTTGTAAAAATATTTGCAAGTTAATCCTTGAGTAATGCCATTCATTAGACCAGGGCATTAATGTTGAATAAGCACAAGTCATCTAGATATTTACTCATTAGTAATTTCTGACTGCATCTGTACATACCTAAATTGATGACAGCTGACCTCCTAAAAATGGGCCACTTTTCGGCTCTGCAGGAAGTTTCCTCGGTCCTGGAAATCTTTGATTTCTGCCTCTGGACTGAATAAGACACACTGATGTTTCTTCATCATATAGGTTTTTCCTGATGTAGGTTTCCTGACTTGCTCTTGGTGAGTCAGCCTTGCTCCTGTCTTATCCTAAACAATGTTTTTTGAAAACTCCACAGGAACAGTTAATACAGAATGGTAGAGAGCATAAGACAATACACGTTTGCAAATGTATGTGTCATATAGAATCCGTCCTAACTCTGCCCTATTTCCAGCAATGTATATGATGTTCTTCAATTTGGGAACAAGATTGGTTACCACCCACTGTGTTACCTTACACAGAATAGTAACCTAGCCTTTTAGAATTGTTATCCCTATTTAACCTGTGTCTTCTCTTTGCACTAGGGCTAGGCTAGGCCTTCAGTTCCATGAAGGACTGGAGAACTCATATTTTTTTCCCAAGAAATGAAAAAAAAAACATAAAAAATAGACTCAGTGTCTTGCTATTTTTCAACCTACTTTATGGAGTTATTTAATAATAATGTGATAAGTCATTGCAGGAGAACAAACTGACAACTCGGAGATGTTTGGGAGCTTCCTTGTTAGCCATAACCACTATCAGAAGTTTTTAAGTGACACATGTAAACACCACAGGAACTATACTTAGATTAAGCCTCTGTGCATCTGTCTAGAGAAGAAAATAATCCCCATCCCTGCATGGGCCTGTGCTGGCTGCACATTTGGAGCTGCCTTCTATCTGTTCCCCACAAATGTCTCAGTCTCTTTCTCCTTTTTCTCAGAACACAAGACAGAGTAAGCAGGATTGATTTTTCCTGATTCCTAATTAAGAAGCCATTTACAAGAAGAAAGCTCTTCCTGGGAATAAATTTGATATGTTGCTAACCTTTAAACTCATGTTTGTTTTCAGTTGAAATTGACTTTTTAATGCTATATAGTTACATCTATACCTATGTCTGTGTCTATATCTGCATCTGTGTCTACATATGTGTATCTAAAAACAATGGTAATTTTGAATAAGAATATAGAATTGCTAGAAATGTTCTGCTGTGACATGCATGATCTCATATTTAGTCTCATAGTGAAGTAACACTTTCTGACTTTTAAAATTAAGTTTCTATTTTACTTTGCATTTGCTATGTGAGAAATATTGTGTACCACTATATGTTTCATTCAGAATATAAACAAACATTTTTTCAAGATCAATATAGGACCACAAAATGTTTGAAGTAAAGATACACACACAGTTTTAGGTTGCTAAACACAGCCACCACCATACCAAGATCACCAGCTCCACAACAGTAATAAAGCCCTTCTCGTTAACCTAGTCAGGAAAATGAAGAAATGAGAAGATTTTAAATAAGTCAGTTAGAACGTATGCTATAATTCTGCTATCATGTCACTTTTATTTAGGCAAACATACAAAATACTATAGGGAATTGAACGAAAAATAAGAAAGGCTACTAATTTGGCAGCTAGAGAGAAAACTTATGTGCATTATAAATGGGATGCAACTCTGTTTTGAAGACTCCTTTTCTCTCTTCCTCTTGCTTGGCTATAACCTATCAATCCAAATCATGAACATACTTTTTTCTTAAGCAAAAGTACTTAAAGTGACCTGGCTAGAGATAGCACCCGATACCTTGTATAAAGATACAAGAACCACTAATACAAGTCCATACATAAATATAGTATGAGATGAATTAAGAGACAATGTGAAAGGGTAGAATAGAAAATGTTCTAGAGGCAGACAGATCAGGATGTGGATGGCAACCCTGCCACGCATCAAATACTTGGGCACTTGTTTGAATCTCTGTCTACTCATTTATACCAATTTTCAAGTTTTATCATATTGGAAATGACACATCTTGTACCTAGCAGGTAATAGGAATGACTGAAATAATTGATCTGGATCAGCTCGTTTTTTCAGGTGGCATATTTTTCTGGATGTGCACTGCCTTTCTCACAAGTCAGTGACTACATAAACCATGATGAATTAAAGTTGATTGACTTTGGGAATCTGAATATTATCATAGTATTCTTTTGGTGATCAGACTATAGATACACAGACTGTATTCTTATCTATAATTTTTCTGTAGTTAAATGGTATCCAGATATTTTTATGTTGGATGGCAAATAAAATACATTTTCATGTTAGAAGCAAAAAATGAGATTGTTTCACTTGGTGAAATTTAGTCTTTGTTCCTTTTGGAAGAACCTCCAGGCATAGCTGGGAAGGTGGGGATTATGGAGATATCCTTGGCTTTGAGAGTTGAGCAAAAGTTTGCCAAGTGGACAAAAACAGCAAGGGCATACTGATCAGAGCAACACTGGGGAAGTACTCTGAATAATCATGTGGTAGGGGGCTGAAAGTACACAGTGAATCTGTTTTGACATGGCTAGAATGAGAAGTGAATTGGAAAATAACCATAGGTGAGCCTGGAAAGGCAGGCTGAAATCTGGCTCTATGGCATAAAAGACTGCATGCTTTATGGTGTGGCTTGTGCTTTCCAAGTATAGGGAGGCTTGGGACAGAAAAGTGTCCTAATCACTTCTCTGCTTTGGAAAGATCCATTAGATCAAAGGAAAGAGAAGTTAGATCTGGAGAACCCCATACTAGCTTTAAAATATTTATAACAGTTTCATTTTATAAGACAGGAAATGAAACTTTAAGGAGACTAAGATGCTTAATCAAATTTTCTCAGCTGACCTCAAGGCTTGAGTTTTGGTTGTGTGACTCCAAAGGCCAATGTCTTTCATGAATTGTGTTTCCATTGTTTCCAGGCCTGTCTCTAAGAAACAGTAGATAGACTGAGATCAAAGTGACTTCTTCCACCAATACTCAAATTCTCACATATTAATATAGGTTAAATTTATTTATTGTAATGGACAGCGCAATTCCAACTAAAGAAGTCAAAAATGGCTGCCTGTGGCTTTGGGTCTATTTGACACCATGTGGCAGAACCATTTTCTTTTTCCAGTGAGCCATCTCCTTAAGTGACCATCAGCCTCCCAGTTCTCCAGGATAAAGCATGAAGGCCAAGAGGAAGCCACTTTGCCGATCACCAAAGATAACTTTTATTAATATAAAAATGAAGTAATAAATCATTTATAATACTGGTCCAAGGCAAGTTTGTATGCTTTCTCTGTGCAAAAATCTTCAAATGTTTTCAAATATAAAAGACAGCAACCATTTTTACTAACAAAATGTATTTCTTTGATAGTTAAGGCATAACATCAGATTTTTTTTTTGTGGAAATAAAGTATTCAGGGTGACAAAAAGAAAAAGGAAGAAAGCATTTAGCCTTCATTTGTCAGAAAAGAAAAAGAGAAAATTGTCTTGTTACTTACCAGAAGTTAATTGATTAGGGTAGTCATAGAAACAGGAAGTTTCTTAGAAAATCAATACAAGATTAAGTGAATGTGACTGGTAGACTAAGGTATCTGCCTGGGAAGCTAACTAAAACACAAATTGTTTAGAAATGCTTACAACAGTTTACACTAAATTTATGGTAAAGTTACGTGCATTTTTTTGTTTGGGGGGAGGGTTATTGTTGCTTTTTTTAAAAAAAATAAACCCCAAAACTCTTTATTAATGAGAAACTTGGATTCTTTTATAAATACTGAATCTCCCAATTTGTAGATTTTTTAAAAACTTGTTTTAGCCTTACCTCTGTTTTCTGTTGTCCTCAAGCCATATTTATCTGTTTTTCTCCCTTAGCTCTGCCCTCCTGGGTCTCCTGTGCTTTTGCCTTCACAATTCCACAGAAATCCCCGAATTCCATCTGCTAATAAGTACATAAGGTAGTCAAGACATGGCTTGCTGGCAAGGGGTTTGGCTGTAACAAGGGATTGAATAGCTCTTTGAATTGCTACATGAGACTCAGATGTAGGGCCATCACAAAATGCCTAAAATAGTGCCAGATATTGTAAGAGCCCCTAATAAGTGGGACTTGTGACAGAATAAAGAATATGGAATCAATTCACTTGCCCTTTCATTTGACTCAAGGGCCCAGTGTTACCAGCAGCCACCAATCTGCTAGCTCATGTGTAAGGCAAGAAGTGCTGCTGCTACACATTCTG